TTAACAGCGTTATATATTAATGTGTGGTAATATTTTTTTTTCTTTTCTTCAATTTTACAGATACAGATCCATCGCTAGAATCAATCCCATCAGCGGATCAGATCCAAGGTCCATATAATGTGGAACAATTCAATTGTATAGCTACAACCTTACAGTTATCACCAATTTCATCGAGAAGTATGAGAAGTATGAATTATCGTGTTCAAAAATCTGCAGAGATCACAAAGGCAGTGCGTAAAAATATATTTGGGATGGATTCAGACGATGTCAACAAATCAAATGATTTTGACGAAATGATCATGCAGTTAAAGGAGAAATTTAATTTGCCTTCTACGAGTACAAATGACAAATTAAAAGTGTTATCAGTGCTCCCTAAATCATGGTCAGTGAATCAAATAGTTAATGAGTTTAATGCACCCCATCATACAGTGAAACAGATGAAAAGGCTAGTCAGAGAACAAGGTATTCTTTGTAGTAAGAAAGCAAGAAGTGGTCATGGATTTAATGATACTGAAAAACAAATTGTTTTAAATTTCTTTGACAGTGATGATATTAGTAGGCCTATGCCAGGAAGTAAGGATTATGTTTCTGAATATCGAAATGGATATAAAGAGCATGTTCAGAAACGTTTATTGATGATGTCTCTTAAAGAGGCTTTTATGATTTTTGAAGAGAAATACAAAAGTGTTAAAATCGGATTTACTTCGTTCACTCAGCTCCGACCAAAGCATTGCATACTGTTGGATAGTACAGGTACACATAATGTATGTGTCTGTACTATACATGAAAATGTTAAATTGATTATTAATAGTGTAAAATTTGATTCATATAAAGAAATTGCAGACAAAATACTTTGCAGTAGTCCTATTAGAACCATAGATTGTTTTTATCGTACATGTGAAGAATGCATTTCCACAGATAGTATCGTGAGGGAACTTACATCAGTATTAGAAGCAGATGATATGGAAGAAGTTTTATTTCAACAGTGGTTGACTACCGACCGTTGTAATTTGGAAACTATTATTAAACCTGCAGATGAGTTTGTTCAATATTTGACGGAAAAAGTTGAAAAGCTCATAACCCATGATTTTATTCATAAAGAGCAATCATCTTACCTAAGTAATAAAAAAATTCTCTTCAAAACGGTGAAATTTTAGTGATTTGCGACTTTTCTGAAAATTATTCATTTATTATTCAAAACTCAGCACAATTATCATTGGAACAATAATCAAGCTACGATACATCCTTTCGAAATTTACTACATAAAAGAAAACAAGTTGGAAAATTTAAGCTTTATTATTATTTCAGAAGTATTGACCCATGATACAATAGCAGTTCAATTATTTATATCAAAATTGTTAGATTTCATTAAACAATCTATTAGTTTCACAAAAATTACTTTCATGTCAGATGGAGCAGCGGCTCATTACAAAAATAAAAAGAATTTTGCCAGTTTGTGCAACTTCAAGTCCAAGTATGGATTGGAAGCAGAATGGCACTTCTTCGCAACGTCTCATGGGAAAGGCCCATGTGACGCAATTGGAGGAACTCTCAAACGAATGGCAAAGAGAGCAAGTCTTGCTCGAGATTATGGAAACACAATCACAACTCCACAAGAACTGTATGACTGGGCAGTTAAACAAACAGATACAAGCATAACAAAATTGAACTTCTGCTTCATATCAAATGATCAATACACAAAGATGTCCGATGAACTCAAGGAGCTGTTCAGTCATGTAAAAACTATACCTGGTACACAAAAATTTCATTGTTTTGTACCTATTTCTCAAAACATAATTTCTACTAAGCGATTTTCACATTCAAAGGAAACTCCGAAAAATTTCACTCTGTTTCCGATAGACTAATAATCAATGAAAAACTCAAATTATGTATGGAGAATTATAGGAAAATAAATTATGCACTAAACAAAAACACTAGAGTTTTCATTTATTAAAACACCATTCGAAATGCAGGAAAATCCTCTGTATTAGGCCCTTTCAAATGTTAGGCTAGATTTTTGTTTTAAGCACGCCCAGATTATCAAAAGGTCAAAATCTTTATGCTCATTAAGTTTCAACGGATTTTAATAAGGTTGTGCGCGTATTACTATTCGACTTTGAGTGAAACACGCTAAAAAAAAATTAACATGAAAAAGTTGTTGTTCGAACAACTTTTTTTCCTTAAAAGCGCCCACTTTGCGATGTATGAAGAAAAGTTAGGTAATTATATTGCCTTTCATGAGAAAAAATATCAAGCAAATCTGAGGGGTACCATTTTTGGGAAAATGACTTTTAATTTTTAAATATATTTTTTTAGAGTGTAGAAACCAATTTTTTAATTTATTTAATTTTTTTTATAAAATTTCAGATTATTTGCTAAAAGTTCGCCATACATCACTATTTTGTAGGGCTTGTCATTTTTAAGCTATATCGATTTGAAAAAAAAATCGACAAAAAACTTTGACCCTTATCAAATGTTAGGCGAGATAAATTTTGAAAAAAATAAGTACTCAAAGTTGCTTAAAATTGCTAAGTCTCCACACCCACAAAGTTTCATAAGGTTCTGAGAGGGTGCTGCCAACTCCGAAGACGAGTTGGCGTGAAATCCGTCAACTGTATTGTGGGCAACACTATATTCTGCAGTGTGACATAGTAGCCATGATTTTTGTCCTCTATTCTACGCGCCATAAACACCAATGTTGCCTGCTGAACAGTTGATTGAGCATAATCATAAGACATCAGTGACTTGAATCATTAATAATTCTTGTTCCTTACATTTGATCGAAAAATGGCCTTTAACAAAGTTGTAGCTGAGAAAATTTTCAACAAGCTAAGCTATCATTTTCTAAAGTAGAGTGAACTGGTGAATTTTGAGATAGATATGAACCTAAATTATGGTTTTTCATAGTAATTCCCATATAAACTTCAAATGGTTTGTGCCAAGTCAGTTTCTTATCAAATGAGTTTAAACTTTCGGAGGCTAATCAGGACCCGATTTGAAACCGTTTGAACACTGTGGAGCGAAAATTTCAAATTTTGCATCAGTCTACTGACCAGGGCCCCTTCTCCAATATTCATTGACGTTTTTGTTTTTGAAGAATAAACATAATGTTCTAATAAAAAAAACTGAATTCGGTGGAAACCTTTTTTTACTAGCTAATATGACTGAAAAAATTCTCATTTTTTATTGAACACCCGTTAATATTTCAACTCTGGAAGTGTCCAATATCCACACTTGATAACGGCGCTGGCGGTTTATTACACGATCGATAAAGTAACCACGGAATGGGCGTGAATAATCATACATTCTGAAATGGGTCTCTGAATCAGCAGTACAGGTATCACCTTCCAAGTCCCTGACTAAAACTGCTTTCAATTACCCCCAATATGATTGTTGTAAGCAGATTTCTTCCATGAGACAACTGCCGGACAGTGGGAGTTAGATTGAAGACACACACTAGGACACATCCCCACACATCGTTGGCCTTCTCCTTTAAATAGTCTGTGTTGATACTAATGATTCCATTCGTGTTGTTTAAATAGCGCAAATATAGAAAAAAAAAAAAACACCAAAATAACTATGAATATTTATTTAAAAAAAAAAAATATTTATGCTGTTGCATTGGACAAAATAGCGAACAATCTTATATGTATGAACAATTAAAACTGAATCCTAAAGGATTGGAAAATTAAATCTAAAATTAGTTTGCCATGTGAATGCATCTAACCGTGACCGTGATCGCATAGACAATAAGATCAATTGTGTTATTAATTTGCTTTAGGCATGGGATGGGTAGACAGGTACATTTTTATACTTACACATGTGTTCAATATAATAGCAGCGCATGCCGATTTCCACACAAAATGGTCAACTTTGACAAGTTGTAACTCTTAAGATCAATTGAGCCATAGAACCACATATTTGTTCAATTTTACGATTACAAAATACCAAATTTTTGGAAGCACCTGCCGGAAAGTGAGACACTAGGTAAAATGTTCAAAATAATAGCAGTACTAATAATTTGCATTTCAGCACAATTTTGACATTTTAAATTTTACATTTCTCAAAATTCAAACAATCCCCACCCAATTAACAAATGTACATAATAATTAAAAATGTTTAAAATATTTGCAGTACATAAAAACTCAAATCAAAAACTGCTATTATCTTGAACAATTTTACCTAGTGTCTCATTTTACAACAGGTACTTTCAAAAATTTGGTATTTTGTAATCGTAAAATTGAACATATTTGAAGTTCTGTGGCGAATTGATCTTAAGAGAACAAAGTTACAACTTGTCAAAGTTGACCATTTTGTGTGGAAATCGGCATGCGGCGCTGCTATTATATTGAACACAGCTGTAGGTATACGGAAATTGCGAGGTATACTATTAAGATATAAACTTCCATCACAAGCATTCAACTAGTATTGTGTTACTTACACTAGACAAGGTACATCGTGTCAATGTGTGCATTATCAGCTGTATGGCAGTAAATACAATTTCACTGTTTCTATTCGCTGGAGATATTGCTATGTAAACTGGTACATACAGAGGTACCTATATCCACTTGAAGCGTCATATATTTCTATTACGTAAACCAATTACTTTTTTTTCAACGCCGCGATTATGACTCTCGTGTCGTGCCGCCGCCACCGCAGATACCTTCTATCTCTGGGAGGTAAGAAAGCGATTCAAAATACACAACCGGAGAACTGGCGGCAATGTGGTTTTCTGTTTGCCTTTTACGGTGCAACTTTTTTCTTCACCTGAGTGAGTTGAATTTTTATATCTGACCGAACACAAGCGATGTGTTTTCATGTTTTCGACCATGCCTATATTAATCATGTAACTGCAGTAGGACGATAAATAAATAAGTCTGCGTATGTATGTGAAAGTGACGTCACGTAGCTGATAACAGTACATATCCAACGATAGTGACTCATGAAACCAATGATACTCGATACACGTGTACTAACATGTTGTATTTTGTACTACTTACCCAAAGATCGGAATGACGTAGCCGATAGTGAAGAGGATGGTTAGCACTCGGGATGCCCACAGTGCCGTGTCGATCTTGTTGAGAATGACGTGTTGTTTTAGTGCCTGCACTCCACGCGGCTGCGGGTCTCGTGACTGCTGATCACTCATGTTGTATCACTTTAACTTTAGGCTTCGTACTAAATCTTGTGGGTAGCACTTTTACACCAACCAACTGTAGAATGCAAGGTAGGTAAAGGGAAAATCAGCTTCTTGTTATCACTTCGTTTGCACCTGATTCGGTAACACTTCGGCAAGTGCCGTCCGACAATCGATTCTAGTAAGAACGGATAAAACCCCAAACCGATGAATGGTCGTCCATCAATCACACGCTACCCATGTCGTTGCGACGAAACTCGATGCGAGCGAAACAGAGGGTACTAATCCGTTACCTATCCATGGAACATATGGCAGCGAAAAAGTTAAAATCACTAGTTCTAATGGACACTGGAAAATGAGCTTACTTTTAATTACTTTATAACGACATTAGGTATTAGGAAGTTCATGATGAGTAACAGAGACGAGCTATTCGCTCTTGTATAACTTTTTTGGAAGACATGTATTTTTTTATGTTTTAATTGGTAGTAAATGTACATCTAGATCTTGTAGAAGGCTTCATCATTATACCGTGAAGTACTACAATGTTGTACATTGCCTAATTTCGCCCACTACAGTAATTTTAAGTATTTTTCCTGGCTTTAGATCAATAACCTATTAATGTTTATATGTTTTCATATAAAATAAGCAAGAATGTAAAGATTTAAGGCGCCATCTTGTTTGTTTACTTATTGAGTGTGCTAAAAGCTGGCGTTGAAAAACTCAATTATTTCGTTTGATACAACACTGTCATTGATGTGAAAAACCACATTATTGATGTGAAAAAGTTAGGGCTTTAGTAACTGATATGGAATAACTAAATCTGATTCGATCTGATTTCATACAATTAATGCATTACAGGTAATTGTTGATCATTTACGCTTGTTTTATACACATACCATTAGATTCAACATTATTTTTTTTGATAGAAAGTCTAAACCATGAATAGCTGGAAGTGGTTTTGTATTGAACTTTTTCATTTATAAATCGCTACAAAATTTGAATTGCAGGCGTAAATCACCTTAACGTACACTGAGGTAAATAAACTTAAGAACTGAATAAGAACCACGTATGATTTTTCGCCACAAGGTTTAATTAAATCATAACTTTGACATATGAAACATCATTCGTAAGTCAACACAAAGAAACTAATAAGTCAGCTTATTAAACTTAAAAAAAGGATTATAAAATAGAGCAGACTGGATTCGTACCTTCAGCCTAAGATAATCATTCATAAGCCGTATTTGTGGAATTCATAAGTGTCTCATGAAATCAAAATAGATGAGTGCACGGATAGATTTGAGTTCGCTCACTCGAGAAAATGTGGCACAAGCTGCGGGCAATGTTTACTTTTCATGAACACTAAATCTTCATAAATAATGAATAATGAACATTAAATGAAATTTTCTCGATTACTTTTTCGTAAGTAATCGTAAGTAATCGAGATTTAGTGTTCATGATTAGTAAACATTGTCTGCAACTTGTGTCACTTTTTCTAGAGAGAGTGAACTCAAATTCATCCGTGTACTCGTCTAAAAGGTTTTGCATCTTGCTTCGGGGTTAACCTCAATCGGATGACAGTTCAGTGGATCCTACTGTTTAGATGGTCTTAGTCATTTTTTTCTTAGGTAGATTTTTTTTTTATTAATTAACTTAAAAAACTGCAGTGAGATGTAAACCACATACTTCTGCAATGTCCAACAATGAGCAACATCCTTTAACCGTGTATTTCCTCGACAATTTCGGAAATTTTAAACTATTTGTTTGAACACTGAGTTCATTTGTGACGTCACGCTGCAGTACCTAATTATGGATATCTTAAGTTTATTTTCCTCAGCTCATGAGCTTAAGTATAAGCACTAGATCCTTACGACGTTTGTGCCTATTTTATGGAGGTTTTATAGATACACGATCTAAGGAATCTTTTTGAGCGAAGTTGTAAACTCATGTGTATTTTTGCTACAAATAACGATGTTGACACAACGCAATCCATGACAGTATAGACCTGTACACGGGTGAACTCAATTAATAACTGTGAAAGTGCATCTAGAACACTAAGTTGAGAGCACGCAATAAGCTAATTTGCGACAAGCAATAAACTTGAAACGCTAAGAAGAAGAAGAAGAAGAAGGGCTCTTTTGAAATACACTGGAGTCGCTTTTTACGCGGGTGATACGTCCCGCGTAAAAAAAACCGCGTAAAAAAAACCGCGTAAATTCCGGAATCCGCGTAAAAAAAAACCGCGTAAATTCCGAAATCCGCGTAAAAAAAAACCGCGTAAAAAAGACCGTGTAAGAAAAAACCGAGTAAAAAGCGATATACCGCGTCAATTCTGAAATCCGCGTAAAAAAAAATCAAAATCCGCGTAAAAAAAAACCAAAATCCGCGTAAAAAAAAACCGCGTAAATTCCGAAATCCGCGTAAAAAAAAAACCGCGTAAAAAAAACCGTGTAAAAAAAACCGCGTAAAAAGCGACTCCAGTGTATACGGTTATATTAGCCTTATATAAGCGTTTAATTGCACTTTTTGCATTGGTGGGCTTGATGGTTACTTGGGCAGTTTACCCAGATTGCGCTAAGAGATCACCCAGCCTAACACAGCGATTGGCTGTAAACCAAACAAACCAGAATAATAGTGGGTTTTTGACCAAAATATTGGTAAATTTGATCCTTATATGAGTTAATTTTATTCAACTTTCATTTAACTTACTTGGGTTATACATTTTGCCCTCATTCTGGGTTCGCCCGCTTCATGCTCAATTTGGGTAAACTTATTCTATATATGGCATATCTGATCTTAGCGTGTGGCGTCTGATTATCGTGTTTGTTGTAATTCGTTGCGCTAAAGGGCCACCCACATTAGATCCGTTTGCGTTGCGTTGACGTAAATTTGACAGTTAGAAAATAGATTTAGCTACCACTTTGCCGCAATGCGTCCGATCCGGATATAATGTGCGTGGGCCTTGAGAGTTAACCAAATGTCGTCACCGATGGATGAAGGAGAAAACATGCATGCACGAATATTACGCGTGATATTGAATGCCCGCGAAATTTTGCTAATGATTATGCCAGCACTGGTTAGTTAGTACATTTATTAATTTATTTGTTTGTCAAAATCAACAGGTTCAACGCAACCCCAATTTGGGCTATATTGAGCCTGTTGATGCTGACAATAAAAAATAAATAAATCAAGTAGATGACCCATCTTGCTGCGCCACCTTACCCTAAATTTTCAAAAGTATGTTTTTTCTAAAAGATATAAAAAAATGCATTTTGAAAAATTGGGAGAGACTTGATCCCCTTTTGATTACATGCTGTAAGGGAAAATGGACTCAGGGACATACCATATAATTTTTTTTATATTCACTCAAGCTTCTGACATGATAGGAACTACCACGTGAACAGGGCATACTGAAAAATATCATAACTATTGTAGAAAATTAAAAAAAAAACGTCAATAACATAAAAGTATATTTTTAAGATTTTTGAACTTATTTTTATTTAGAAGCTAATCAAAAATGCTGATTCTGATATTGGACACAATAGACGCTTTAAATTTATAAAAAATCGTAGAAGATCAACTTTTAGAACATTGTTTTCACAAATAATTTGAGTTGTTTAAAAAAACTTAACGAACAAAAATAAATGTTCGTTGCATTTTTTTAGACGATCCAGTTTCTTACAACTTTGTCTCAGACCCGGATGGATGGATGTATAGGTAGTCAAGTACTCGCGGTCCACTAGTGTCGATGAGTTATTTGCCGAGAATGCTCATGAAAAGTTGACTATTTTACCAAACAGTGCCAAAAAAAAATACAGTCAGATTTGGACAGATTTTGACCTCTTCATACGACCGGAACATGTATGCTGGTCACAAATGCCATGCCAAATTGATTTCCTACGCAAGTTCTCGAATAAACACTAGGAGGATTGATAAAGGCTAAACTTGCCATATACAATCGTCATAGTTCATTTTAGTAAACAAACTAACACTTCTGGAGTCCTTTTTGATTAGGTCGTATGTAAAAACGTAAACAAATTGACATTTTAATGCTACCAGACTCTACTCTGCTTACTCTTCCTAAAGGCAAAATTTGGGCCCGCTACCTCATTTCTGTTTCATTTTCTCATCAAAAAACTATCCGTCGTATGTGCTAACTGGCCAAAACATAGCTCAATGTTACATACGACACCTAACTTCTATGAGGGTGTCAATCGTCGTATGTAACAAAGTTGATAGAAGCGTAACAACTGTACATAAGACCTGTTGTTTTTTCCTAATAAAAATAACTTGTTGCAAAGAATATTAATCGATTTGTGGTCTACGGCACAAAATTTCTACATTCATTGACAATATTGAACAATGTATGAATGTTTAACAACCAAATGAATAGAATCATTAGAATCTTTCCGTTTTCCATAAATTTTCCCATAGCAACTTTGAAGTTTTCTCGCAAATCCAGATCAAATTTCCTGTAAATGGATTATATATTAGTAAACCTAGAAGGTTATGTACTTTTTGAAACCAATTTGAATATGAATTTAAATCAGATACCTAGTAGGTACATACTAACTTCGAAAAATTAACAAAGGAAAGTTAAAAATAGCTAATGTAAAATTGTAGTTCATAAATTCATTTCCATTTTCAAGCACAGAAGGGGGTCATAGGGCCAGGTCTCCAGTGAAACATCACTGTCCATACAACACAAGGGTAGAGGTAAATATTTGGCACCACAGAATAATAATCACAGGGATTAAGTGAATCCTGCTTACGATGCCGGATAAGGAGGAATAGTGTTTCAAGTAGCGGATAGTCAGAGTAACAGTAGTAATAGTAAAAGTTGGGAAGTAAACGTACAGAGGACCATGTTTTGCAATAGCTTCTTATGCATGACCTTCTTGAAATTTTATGAGAACCAGTGTCAGTCAGAATTCAGAATCCGCCTCCAATAGCAAGTGAGTGGAAGGAACCCTGAACGCAACCTTTCTTCATGATACACTTTTTCTACATATCTTTCTATTAGGCCTGTGGACATGCGTTAGCTTCTTAACTTCTAATCAAACTGGGAAATCTATCATATCACAAAAAAAAACAAAACGCTAAAACATTTCAAAAGAAATTACAAGTAAAATACATATTGATTATTTTACGCAAAAACGAGCAATTATATAAAATCTCTTGTATCGTATGCTAATGCTAATTGACTGTAATAAAAATAATATGCTAAGATAAAATAAAATTTTAATAAAATGATATGTCAAATTTACTAGAAGATCATTACTTTATTGGTGAGAAGTTTCTAATAAGCCCTCCCAGTTCCTCTATATACAGAACAAAATATCATAATCAGAATTGCTCAGCCTGCATGAAGCAGCCGATTTCATCAAGTACTATTAACAACCAAGAATTAATCGTTTGAGACATACTGATGCATTATGAAGGTGATATGTGTCACTATGGGAAATCATCATAGTTGCAAATATAAAAGACTAAACATAACCCTTTGCTTCAGTACCGCCAGCCTCCATGTGCATGGGGAGGGCAAAATGGTAGTTCATAAATTCAGGTCCAAAATATCACAGAGGCACTTTTCCCCAATCTCATTCGTCAATCCACTACATAAAGTTCAAAAACAATTATTTCTCAATACCGATGTTGTTCAAAACTCAAGATGTTAGTGCCGTAAGTGATCAAATTTCTACATCTTTTTTCATTGAATTATTCTTTGGGTTCGACGCCTGATACTTTGCAGATTTAGCAGAAATGCATTTTTATACTTATTACTTAGCGAAACATTGAGGGTTAGTATTTAAGTCACATTAATTGGATCAATAAATCACCCTTGTTCTAACCAGTAGACTTGTCTTTTACTGTGCTCCTGCACTGCCCGAAAGACTTGTTCAGCTTAGTGTCCGCCTTAAACTGGAGTATTACCCCTCGATGGAAACTATAACATGGAACTATGGACAATCAGAAAGTGAGTATTAGTATAAGTAGTCTAGAAAGGCGACTATAGTGTTTTCAAGTGAGTGGATGCAAGCATTCAATAAAACATTAATACCTGAATAGTTTAAAAAATCTAGATGAAAATATTAAAATACCAGATAAACAATATTTTAGTCTGACAAGTTCAACTATTCTACACGTTTTATTCTCTGATGTTTGTTATTTTACTCGGCCAATCTTCTGTAAATGGATAGTCACTTATGGAGAGGTGGTTCGTGGTTCGAACTTATCAGTCTTATCAGCTGATATACATGCATATCTTTAAAGAGCTCAACCTATTTCAGAATAACGATAACTCCACATAATATTAACTGATATCTCAACGATAATGTAGTAAAACTAGAAATACTTCAATATCATCGGACTCTGAAGAAGTTCAACTATTATTACTAAAATTCAGTGATCAAATTACTATAATAAGACATTAAAATTTGAAACACATATTTTTTGGGCTAACCGATCGAAGTGCCAGAGAACGGTTCCGCTATTAATAGACCACACAAAGGTCCCGTTTTCCGTTCCGTATTTTTTTTTTTGTAGCACGGGATCTATGTAAGGCTCGCAGAAAAGTTCCCGTCATCATCCAAATCTGTGGACTAGGCAGTCAGCAATACATACACCTATTCGAAAGTCAATTGCAAGTGTTATTGTATGAAATATTAAATAAAAGGTTTCCGTTGTTGCCATCCACTAATTAAATGTCATGAAATTGATATACGTCTGAGGTGATATTAAAGAGTAATGACGATGACGACACCAGTCGTGTACGTTGATTTTCTTGGGGTTTGCTCCATCTTTCTAGAATCGATTTCGGGCGCATCACTTCGGTGCGATAAGCACGTCTTCTCCGTCACTAACTTATCTCGAATGTTCAGATTTTTTTCTATGTCACATACACTAAATCTCGTTCCAGAATTGGCAGCAAAACTTTAATAATTAATCGATTTGAGCATATTAAAAACGCAGGCTTGGTTGTAACCAAAATGATTTTTTTTTTTTAGAAATTCAACAAGATCGTTACCGTTGATCCGGATACGAACCGAGTGAAAGCGACATGAAAACTACTACGCATTCACGACACTATACGGCTAGCTTCCAACAAACTATACACGTCAGATCGAGCACTACTCACTTTACAATCCGCTCGCTACTCCTGCTAGTAAAATACTTATTGGCTGATCACTTGCGTACTACTAACTAGTTAAGTGCGAAAAAGGGTAACGGAGCAAGCACTAGTTTTTTGCCACTTCCAACATCACGCAGTAGAAAAAGGAAAGTGAAAATTTTGACATTGACAATCATTTGACAGAACGCAAATAACATCGCAGAAAGGGAATAATGTGCAAGGGTGCCAGGTGTTTGGGGGAGCGACATAAATATTTTAACCCAGCAAGGCCTATACACACCAAATTTCTTAAATCTTGTTCGGTACCTATTTTTTGCTGGATTTCCCTAATAAAAATGTTATGGTTAATTTGCTTAACGACGTGTTCTGGGTATCATCCAAACCATTTGTGGAATAGTTCAATCATTTGGGTTATCGTTCGTTTATGGTATCTGTTTTATTAGGGTTGTTCTACACAAAACGAAAATCAACACTAGCGCCACCACAATATTGCTAGTTTCAAATATCTATTCGAAATAGCAGTTAAATTTCTTACACACTTTAGGAATTTGACTTGGATGTCTGTTCTCTGTGATGTGACCACACACGAGGGGCTGTCAACTTGTGTATTTTCGATTCATCTACCCGACTTGAAGATGTGTATTTTGTATTTTTTTCATATTTATGTATTTTTAAGTTTACTGTATTTTTGTATTGAGGTGTATTAAATTCATTATAAAATGTATTTTTCATGTACAAAGTATTTTCGAGGTATTTTTGAGTATTTTTATTAGGGTATTTTAGTTTCAGCGTGTACGTATTTACCCCCTCGGCTGAGCCCTCGACCACACATATACAGAATCCACCCAGAAGCACACAAATTTATGAGTCAAATGTGGTTACACATGGCTTTTTGTGTACACATATTAAGTATATGTCCGATACATAGATATCATTTGTTGTTCACATTGCAACAATTCATGTGTGGGACACATAAAAACAATATTTGAAATTTTATCAGTGTTCTTATTAAAATGGTTTTTAAAATGCATTTGCAAGCCAGAGACACCAAAGGTAACCAAAGAGGTTCGGTAGCAAATTAAACCGAGTTAGGTATTATTTTATAAGTGTGATAGTATACAGATCGAAGCGTGTAACCGTTGGTTCTTTAATGTTACTTGTTGGCTTCTCCACAAGAAATCCCATGTAAATTAACCTGCCTGCACACCTCGCTGCACACTAAGATTTTGTTTTCGTTTTCGGTAAATTTGACCGAAATCAGAACAGCTGAACGTTCGGTAATACTTTAACCTTCATTTTAAAGTCCAGTGAATTACAAAAATAATTTCAAAACATGTTCAACCTTGTTTAAACGATCAAATCTTGCCATTTTAGTGTAGATTTAGTTTCAAAGTAACTGAAAAGCGTATTGAATTAAATTGCATAAATTTTACCGAACAGTTCAGCTGTTCAGATTTTGGTAAAAATTACTGAATTCGGCGAAAACTTCTAAGTGTGTGCCAGCCTAAAGCCTAAACCTAGCCTAAACTAATCCCATTAATAAAACCGACAGCCTTAAAAGCGGTTGATCCCATAGCTCTCATAGCGCTCATAGCATATAGTGGTATATACATAAGCCTTTGAAGTTTGTAAACACTGTTTACGTAAACCCCACACCTCCAGGGGGAACGACACTTCAGGATTATCCCATTTTTACCCAAACCTCTCATATAATTTTCAACGTGCACAAAATGTCAATCCTTGAACGGCGCCGGTGGTGTAGTGGTAAGCGTGATTACCTCTCACCCCAGCAGGCCTGGGTTCAATCCCAGACGGCGCCGCCGGGATGTTCTGAGGCATAACATCTCTGATCACGCCTTCCTTCGGATGGGAAGTAAAGCCGTTGGTCCCCGGTTCATGAGTTGATGGGTCGATAGGTAGGGTCCAGGTGTGGGAGCTGCCTTCCTGGCACGTCGGTAGCATTGGTGCTCAGCACGGAAAACAAGATCGACGGAAAAAACAAACCAAAGGAAAAAAAAATGTCAATCCATCCTATCTATTCTTTCTATTCCCAACTTATCCCTTCTGCATGCACACAAATTGTCAAGCAAGCCGTGCAGTTTCTCGAAGTTTTCAGGTCGACCGCGAAGCACTCTGCCATACTCACTGTCAGTTTACAACACTCTCCACAACAAACACCACGTATGTCAGCTGACCATGCCGGTAAAAAATCGGTGCGAAAACTAGAAAAAAGATGACGGACCATTCGTCTATAATCGGTCTCGGGGGCAAAAAACATCAAGTGCATCACGGAGGAGACGGCAACGCACATCCATTTCCCGGACTCAAACCGATCGAATTCGACGGATAAGAGCCCGGGTCTCTGTGTGTTGTATCATGGAAGTTACCGAACAGGCGCGAAGCAACTGTTTATTTCGTTCGAACTGCTGATTCTACCAATGAAACCCCCTACGACAAGCAGGTGGAAAAGGAATTCAGGTCGTTTTTTCCACTCGGCCCAAGTTTTACTCGTCTCTGCTGCTGGTCAAGGGTTCGGATAAGAAAGAGCTAATAGTGAAGTAAGACACCCACCGGGTGATGTATTTCTGTGCGAGAATATTGCGGATCAAATTCCCGTCCAAATACAGCTGGGAATATTAACTGGAACCTTGTAATCCATCGCCATCACCCGTTCATCCTACTGTGCAGTTTCGACCTTTTCGGTGCGGAACCATTTTCTGCACTTGAGCTGTGAGCTTTGATTATTATAGTTGGGCGGTGTCCCGAGCGGTGTCCATTAATTCCGTTTCGCTAAAAATCAATATGTTTGACCCCCCCCCCCTTTGGAACAAAACGGTACACTGAAAATGACCCCCCTCTATTTATTACGCAACGCTAAATAAACCCCCCTCCCCCGCCTTTTCATTTAATTAATGTATGATTTCGTTTTGTATTTTTTTATTTTTAGGTAATTAATTATATTATTAATATTCAAAACAAAAACAAAAGATCAGCGTACCATCGTGTACCTCCTTTTCAAAAGTTCAAGATAGCAAAAATCTCAATTTATAAAATTAAAACAGATCCATTTTGTAAAGCAAGATTTAGTGATGATAGCCTTCGTTATCGTTGCCAAAAGCGTCAAAAAAGACCTGTATTTTCAAACTTTACATCAAGAAACGAAAAAAAAACAAAATGTTCTCTTTTTACGCAACGCAAAGCTCCTCCCCTATGTATTATTCGTAACGATATAGGTGACCCCCTCTCCCCCTATAAGCGTTACGTAATTCATGGACGCTTCATTGCAGCAAATTTTTCTTCTTTTTACACCTATCCTCTTCGCGTTCAGACTCGTATCCCTCTGAAATTTTTTAACATCCCTCACATCACATCAATTGCCTGATCTATTCCCATCTATTTTTTCTATCCCTGCTCTATTTTCGTCAACACGACACACTCAAAAAAATCCCATCAATTATGTTTTTCCCCGAAAATCCCAAGTAATTACTAGACTGAAAAAATACATCCAAATGAGTGTCGTTCCCCCTGCACACCTCGGAAAATTCATACTACATAGGACGTATTGTAGATCTATTGTAATAATAATATTTTTAATTTGTTTGTATGATTTACATTGTCAATAGATTTTGTTGTGATTGTTTTTTATTTTTTTTTTTTTTTAATAATTCGTTTATTTTTCCAGGCTCATTTGCTGTAGCTTTGCGGAGCCGATATTCATTGTTTAGATAACAAAATTACTTAAAACTAACGTTAGTAAAGCGGGGGCCGATTACTCGCGGCTATCTCGAGGTTAGGGGTAACAAATTGTAACAAATGGATGGCAGGGTAGGGATTGTGAACACAAGGTTTGGAGAGCAATGTGCTCTTGATCTCGAACTAGGCGACACTCTGATGAAAAAGACAAACATGGGGGTACACCGATGGGTAGCTAACAACTTGGGAGAACACAAGATGACACTAACTTCTAAATCCTCAAATCTATCCGTTTTAAAAACACATAAATTAAATTCAAATAGTCAAGGTCTCGGCTCGCCAAGACATCTCTAACGGGTATCGCGGGTTGTTTTCCTCGGGCCCTGAGGGATGTGGATAACTCAGATCTGGCAACACGGTGTAAGGTACACGACCAAACAACATGCTCGATATCGTGATAACCACTGCCACACGCACATAAATTGCTGCCTGAGAGCCCAATTCGATAGAAGTGCGAGTCTAACGAGCAGTGATTGGACATAAGCCTTGAAATAACGCGTATAAAGTCGCGGCTCATGTCCAACCCTTTGAACCATGGTTTGTTCGACACCTGTGGGAGAATAGAATGTAACCATCTTCCCAATTCACCATCATTCCATTTTTGTTGCCAACTGATGAGGACTTGCTGGCGAGCAATGGAGAAAAATTCGTTGAAGGCGATTTGTCGCTCAAAAATATCGCCTTCCATAGCGCCCACCTTAGCCAATGAGTCCGCTTTCTCATTACCCGGAATTGAGCAATGAGATGGGACCCAAGCTAAGGTGATAGTATAGGAGCAGTTAGATAAAGCACTCAGTTTAGATCGTATTTCAGGCAGGAAATACGAGGAGTGCTTCATCGGCCTCATTGAACGAATAGCCTCCAATGAGCTAAGACTATCCGTAAAAATGAAATAATGGTCAGAAGGTAGTGAGGCAATTCGCTCTACTGCGTAAAATATAGCTGCGAGTTCCGCAACGTATACGGAGCATGGTTTCTGCAGTTTATAGGAGGCGCTATGAAATTGATTAAATACACCAAATCCAGTGGAAGCATTTATGGTTGACCCATCTGTGAAAAATCTTTTATCGTTACTTACATGGTGGTACTTGATTGCAAAAATTGAGGGAACAACCATCGACCGATGGTGATCTGGTATTCCATGGATTTCTTGCATCATGGTCAGATCAAAATTTACAGAGGAACTATAGAAGGCTTGGAAGCAATCACGATTGGAGATTAATGAAGAAGGACCAACCTCCAGCGTCATGTACTCATAGTACAAACTCATGAATCTTGTTTGAGGATTTTGGTCGAGCAGCTTCTCAAAGTGTTCTATTACCAAAGGATTCAATACTTCACAACGGATGAGGAACCGGAAAGACAGCTCAGCGAAACGATCTGTCAGTGGGAGAACA